TGATGATGAATCCGCGACGGATGTCGAAACGTCAGGCGAATAAACGTATCGTACTAAAGATCGAGTCTTCTTCTTCATCTCAGTTGCTTCCTGGGACACGCATGTTCGCTTGTATTGGAGATAATGAACGGTGTGAAGCAAAGGGATAAACTACAGCCATACGGGATATATCTTACCCGATAAAATAGAAGCCGCAAGACGAAAATAAACTTTATGTGTAAATTATTTCCAGGAAGTATTGTTCTAAGTCAGATGTTTCCTCTCAACTCAGAACGTATACCTGTGTTAGGCAAAAAGTGAGCTGTTATTTACTTTCACTATCACTTTCTGTTCTGCTTTGGATTTCAGCTTCATGCAATGTTTCGAATGAAAATCCAAAGTCTCAAAAATGAAGCTGCTCACTTGAAGGAGGCTAATGAGACTGCAAGGTTGCTTCGCAGTGACCTAAAGGATCGACGTGAGGAACTGTTTGCGAAGATAGATGGCGCATCCCACGACCTGCTATCTGCCTGTAGAAATGCCCTTTTAAGAGAAAAACGGCAATTAGATCTGATTGAGACCCATATTCAGAAAAAGATTGTGATCATATTGAGTAATCAGAAGCAAGTAGTAATGGCAATCAATGCACTTCGGAACGTAAATGCTCTTTTTGAGAACGCAGTAAGAAAGCTAACTATTACAAACATCAATAAATATGTCCTTTTAAATACAGCTTGTCAATTAATGATTAGACCATATCGATCGTGCTTGTAGTTATAATTATTTACATTAAATCTAGAAGCGATTACCCATTTACAACATTGACATAATGCAAACAGGAGATTGTCTGGTCATTAGTCACAAACGCGAATCACACTGGGACTGGTTACAAAAGCCTGTTGACAGGTAATAACTCAAAATCCATAATTTTCGCTAAATTGTCCTGATTTGCAATTGCTAGCAACTGAGTGAGCGTCATTACAGTTATTAGTATTTGAACCCCTAGGCAAAACGGAAATTCCCAGCGCTATAATTCAGTCTGAAGAATTTGGCGAAGGTTCCTATTGTGCCATTTGATTTGTTTCCTTGTTGGTTTAGAGAATATCGATCCGTGTTTTGATTTATAGAACGATTGGCCCTATAAGTGATTAGGAAAGGAGTTTGGGTTCATTTTTCTCGAGTTCGTCTGGCAAGTGGCCACGCCTGATGACCACAGATAAACAACAGTTAAAGAGATGCAGCATGTTCTTTGGCAACACTCGTCTTCGAAAACAAATAATTGTAGGCGGAAGAGCCTTTATCGCCACGGTCATTCTACCGGTCACTAAAAGGGTTTCACATGCTGTGAAGTTTTAACCATTTCCGAAATAGACACGTGGGCAGCATGAGCTCCTGAGCCCCTCTGTCTTCTTGGTGGACATTTCAGGGAACAAAACACATCCTATACATCAGACCTTGCATATGCTCTTGCCTTTTGTAGGAAACGCAGACGCTGTGTGAATTGAGACAAGCAACCACAGAGGCGACGAACACCTTGGAGAATTTTGTAAGCACCGATCCAATGCGTGATCTGCACACATTTGAGAATTATACGCTGGCACCGGGTTTCGACGATGTAAGTATTTACAATAATCTACGTTAAACCGTGTTTTACTCGTTGAACATAAAGGAATAATTTACGTTTCAAGAGTCCGACAGAAGTTTCCAAGAAATATGTCAACTACGGTAAAGGCTAGTGGAGATCTCATAGTTTTAAATGGATATTTTAATTTTGAAGCTTGGAAATCTGAGGCAACAGTCAGAAAATTCGTTTGCTTACCTCGCAGGCATTACAATACCTAAAATTGAATTATGCCTGGAATGAAGTTAATAACACATCGTCAGCTAAGTTGTTTGTAGAAAGTTTTGATAATCTCTTAGATGGATAGTTTGCACGTAAATTCCCAATACTGGTTGCAAAAGAGAAAGGGGGTGAGGGAACAGCAAAGACTAACCTTCCCTTAATGAACCTCAATTCGCTCTTCTCTCACAAACTAGGGTGCTACATTAGACGCTACTTTTCCTCGCTTCAGCTACGCTGTTGTCTGGAGTCTGCAGTTCTCGTTAACACTAGACCAGTGGGATGTTACTGCCATATCTGCGGTCACGTAAATTCAACAGAGCAGTAGTTTGCTTACCCGGAAGATCGCATACCTTTCGGCCTACTGTGATGATGCAAACAGAATCTCATCTCGTTGACGAACGTTCACCAATCGATAATGGAATTCACGCGCCCGCTACGTCATCTTGAAGATGACGAGCCGGACTTTCGTCAGGACACTGTTATGTTAGATTTCCAAATTAATCTGTTGATCTTTTCAGTCCCGCTTGCGGACGAGAACGTAATACATTTGATGCTACCATATTGCCTCCAACTGCATCGACGAATTTTCTATTATCTCATATATTAGTAGACATACTGTGTCTCGGGCTGATGAAAAAAGTTTCATGGAAAGGCATCTTTTGGGAAATGACTAAGTTTATTGAGTATATTTTCGACACTGGATCCCCAGTTGGTCGTCAGACTTGAGAGGAATTTGCAAACAACAGTTAGCATTTCAAAGTGCTGATACAATTATATGGTTATGTGGTGTGGGCGTTAATTGGGGGTTACAATTTGCGTCACATCGTGATGGGCATGATTATCAGTCGCAATGGCGTAATGACGAATTAGCAACTGTAATTTGAGTCAGTCCGGGGTCAGTCCGCGGTCAGTCCAGGTTATCCGGTTTGGACGCTAATTGCAGTTCATGTTGGTCCATGTTTGTCGGCTGCAGTCTTCTCCACCTTTCTTTGAGGTGTTTGTACACTCCAGCTAATTCGATACGCCGGTTGATGCACGAACCATCGGAGTGCATGGCCTCAAGAAATTCTCGGCCTTTTCTGACGAAGAAACCTATCGAAACGAGCTAAATTATCTGTTTTAATTGTTCTCCCGCAATAGTTACCCCGGAGACTTTGTACGTCGATGCTTGAGACAACAACAATCCAAGAAAAAGGAACCAGATAGTTCCACTCAAGCGCCTAAGACAAACACATGGCAAGTCCTTCCTTGTATAAGGAACGTGTCTGAGCTCGTTGAAAGACACTTGCGGAAACACCAAATAAAATTGACGCACAAACCGATAGCTACTTTACGCACTCAGTTAATACACCCTAAGGATAGGGTTGGCTACCTCTATAAGAAAGAAGCCATCTACAAAATCCCATGTGAATCTTGTGACACGGTATATTGAGGCCAAACAGGAAGATCTCTCTCCACACGCATCCGCGAGCACCAACCGGCTCCGAAGAGACATGACCGTTTTTTCCAAAGGTTATGCATTGCCTTGACACAGGAAATACTCTTGCATGGGAAAAAACACGCAGCGTCGGAGTTTACCCCTCCAGAAAAGGCCGAGAATTTCTTGAGGCCATGCACTCCGATGGTCCGTGCATCAACCGGCGTATCAAATCAGCTGGAGTGTACAAACACCTCAAAGAAAGGTGGAGAAGACTGTAGCCGACAAACATGGACCAACATGAACTGCAATTAGCGTCCACACCGGATAACCTGGACTGACCGCGGACTGACCCCGGACTGACTCAAATTACAGTTGCTAATTCGTCATTACGCCATTGCGACTGATAATCATGCCCATCACGATGTGACGCAAATTGTAACCCCCAAGTAACGCCCACACCAGATAAATATATAACTGTATCAGCACTTTGAAATGCTAACTGTTGTTTGCAAATTCCTC